ACGTTGCTCTTTAATTTTCTTAGCTGCTTTTACATATCCACCAAGTGGCGTTGAATCAGGATCCGAATTTTTTAAAAACGCTTCCTTTAAACATTAATAAAAATTTGATTTAAATTTGAATTAACTATAAAGTTGATTTTAAAAAAAAAAAACATACAACTTCTGCCCGATTACTAGGACTGAAATCAATCCGTGAACGTTGTTGCTCTATGAATTTAGTATTTTGCTCCATCTATAATTAATCGGCCAATAAGATTTAGATATTAAATAATAATTAACAAAAATGCCATGATTAAAGACCTACCTTTTCAATAAACTGTTGAAGTTGTTTGTTGAATTTAGTATTTTTTGAATTCTTAATATGTCGTTTAATCTATAAAAGAAATATAAATTTATAATTGCTAATGTCGCATTCGATATAACGAATAAAAAAAAAAAGATTAACAAACTTGAATAATAGCGGGTATTGCTAATTCCGGAAATGCTATTGACAAACTGTAACATGAGTAATACTCGAACAATAGTTCAACAAGTTCTTCGCATATACCATCCTATACAGGAGTAAATTAAAAAAAAACATCAAATTGTAATTTCATAGATTAATAATGGTCATACCTGATATACTTTTGTATGTAAATAAGCCTTTGGTGTTTTTAATGTAGACGAGAAATCTAAAGGTTTTAAAGTCGCAAGTTTTGGTTTTCGGTAAACTTCAGCTGAATGCAAAATGTCAAAAAGATAAGGTGCAAGAGGGATAAAAGTCCCCGTTTTCTTGATGAGATGAATCAAAGCGCGAATACAATGGAAATGAAACGGAAAGTATTGTGCTGTAACATTCAATCTATTATAATATATATGGTTAAAATATTGGTATTGTAATATTAAAACTTAAAAAAATTCGTTAATACCTTATTACACCAGTGCATACTTGTACTAATGGATAAATTAACTCTTGTAGTGAACCTTTATTATTTTTAGATTCTCGTGTTTGATCGCAATAATTAGCCAGTACCTTGGACCAATATTCAATGCAATGTACATATTGCCAATTGTATATAGTATTAAGGGTTTCCTACACAATAATAGTAAATAATATAATTCATGACAAACCTGCCAATGTAGTATTATTGTTTCAAAAAAATGCGTAAATTCTCACCTCGTTCTTGTTATTAGTAGAATTCCTTAAATGAATAGCTAATTGTCTAATGTGATTAAATGCAGACTGGTATGAACTTTTTAGATCAATTCCATACATTTCAACCGCACAATTACTCATAAGATTGATGGATGGATGGCATCGTAAAGACTGTAGTTTCTTTGCAATATTGGACAAAAGTAGTATAAATACCCTGAAATTAAAATATTATTTTTAAGTGTGGGCGGTGAATTTGAATAGTTAAATCTAATAATGTTATACCTTTATACAAAGGTCAATAAAAGGCGGCGGTGCAATAGATGCAAGTTTGCGAATATTAAGAAATGCCGCAATTCGAGTCTTATCTTCTGCTGTTCCCCAAATATCGAGTAGTTGCTTTAAAAATAATGATAGTCGTAAGTATGCATAAATAATCTTGAAAATACGAAAGAGCTGGTTTACCTTTAAATAACGTTCAGATAATTTAGGAAAACATGCGTAATAAGGGACAGTCTTCTTCGACTCTCTCACGATAAAGTAAATCATATCATTCTCAGTCACTTGCTCGAGCATATACAAAACGCTACTCAAAAAGGACTTTGCAAGAGGCTCTAATGTTTTCCATTTTCGGTGCGTACACGGAAGTTTCCTATAATAAAGTTTTTTAATTAAAATTCTTGGGCAAAAAAAAGTGTATAAATAGAGATTTGTATAAAATCGAAACTAACTCACGAACTAAATTCGAATTTTAACTGGCTAAATGATGATCGAAGACTCCGGTTGTGTATTTCAGACAAATAACCACAAGATTATTGAATACTATAGTCAAAGTATCGATAAGTTACGTATAACTTTAAAATTTAAAAATCAAAGCCATTGAGCTACAATGAACCTGCTGAATCATTAATTTTATACGAATATTGGTTTTCTTCACTATCATTAATATGGGCAGCTGCACGAAAAGCCAATAGCAATTGTTGCAAAGACCGCAAAGAATTCGACTATTAAAAATTCGAATAAAAGATTAGAGTGATATTAATGAATATTTCGCTTCATATATAGTCTGGTTATTACCTGAGTAATGGCCTCGTGTAATTTCTCAACCATTGCAGAAGTCAAAGTTGGTACATCATCGATATCCATGAGTGTCGAAAATATTTCGCTCTTGGCGTAAATTTAAATGGCGAAAATGATTTTTGACAGTCAAAATCGTAAATAATTTAGTATATCGAAAAT